GGGCCTTCCACTTATACTTTAGCCTTGAATCCAGGATAAGAATCGTTCCCTATGCCCAGATCATTAATCTTGCCAAGCCTCAGCATTCTGCCTCATGGAGTGGAATACATTCTCATATTCTAATAGGGAAAGTTGCCATTTTGACTGCAAATTCTACAGACTGAGTGTCCCTTGTCACACCCGGTGATCCTCAGCATACTTGAGTCACTCAGAAATGTTTCCCTCCAGGTACTCTACACAGGCATTTGCATGGGCAGTTGGAGCTAGAACAGGTGGCTTCATTTCAAAATGAAAGTACTAATCTTGTGTGAGAATATAAAGCAGACTGAATGCTCAGTGAGGCTACAGTGAAGTAGTAGAAGTGGGTGAAACCTCAAAGGGGAACAAAGGCTTAGGACTAAATCTTAAGAAACCCCACGTTTAGGGGATGGGGGAAACAATGCTGAATAATGCTCTACTGGTTAAATCTATTCAAGCAAATATTACCTGAATCTTCTGAACATTTAAACTGTGGCAAAAGTTTATGCTTGACTCAATCCTACTTTCCATATCATGTCTATTAGTCTCTGGCTTTCACATGCCAACCAGTTCAGGAGTAATTCAGAGTTTTCTCTCATTACCTAAGACTAACTCTCCAATATGATAGCCACTGTCCACATGTGGCTATTTAAACTGAAATTAGTTAAAATTAAATAAAATAAAAATTCAATTCCTCAATGATACTAGCCACATTTTAAGTGCTCGATAGCTGCCTGTGGCTAGAGGCTACCCTATTGAATACTAACATATGGGACTGACATGGAACATTGCCATCATCATGGAAAGTCCTGTTTGTTCAGAAGGTCTCTGTGTATTTGCCTGTATTTCCCACTGGGTCTGCCTGGATATGCTATGTCTATTAAAATTTTAGGAGTTGGTCAAGCTGTCTACTTAGAGATGGTGGTACAAACTGGGATATATAATTTAGGATTGAGGCATAGTGGGTGATAAACCCACACAAGCAATGACTTAAATAGGAAAAAAAGTTTACTTTTCATGTTAAAGTCCAAGTCCAAATGTAGGCAATTCAGGGCTCCTTTAGCTGCTCTGATGCACATAGACCTCAAGGTCCCAGTCTTCTTCCTATTTTATATCACTTCCTCAGGAGGTTGCTCTCAACCTCATAGTTCAAGATTGGGTGTTGGGCCCTGGCTAGGTAGCGCAGTTGATAAGAACATTGTCTCACTACGACAAATTTGTAGGTTTGAGCTCCGGTCAGGGCACAAACAAGAAGCAACCAATGAATGCGTAAGTAAGGGGAACAGGTCCATGTTCTTTTCTGTCTTTCTCTCCCTCCCTCCCTTTCTCTCTCTCTAAATCAATCAATAAATATTTTTAAAAAGATGGAGTCTTAACTGTAATTTCCAAGTTCTAGGCAGCAATGTGATAGCAAAATGAAGTGGGGGGGAAGACACATGCCAGCTGTCTTAAGGAATTGCATGACATTTCTGCTCCTGTTGGTAGCTGCAAAGGAAGCTGGGAAAGGCAAACTTATTCACGTGTCCAGCTAAATATCCTATTACAATAAAATGAATGAAAAACAAATATCAGGAGTCAATGAGTAGTTCTCCCCACAGGGCTCAACCGCTGAATATGAGGACCAGGTTAGGAAATGCCAAGCAGGAACCGAAGCTATTGTCTGTTCAATTCTCGTACCCTGGTCAGTGACACTTAGCCAAAAGCAGTTCAGGTTGAGAATATTTTAATGGTGTGGCAGGTGAAGCAGGTTGTTCCCAAATCCAAATCATGAGGGTGCTGTGATTGTAACTACAAAGGAGAATAAAACTGCCTTGGTGTCAAGTGATATTGGCAGAGGAAGGGTTGCGGTTTACCTGCCTGGAGTGGGTGAAGACTTGAGCCACAGAAAAAGAACTTGTGTGTCCAGATATTTATTTAAGTGACTTCACAAAATGCTTGACTTGAGAGCTGCAGATGTAAACATCCCAAAAAGAAGGATAGACAATTCATCTTGTTTAATGGAAAATCCCCTTGAACACTGCCAGCTCTTTCTAATTAGGGACCCTCCTCACTTGCCAGTCTGTCTGGACTGCAAGGTGGGATTCCCTATCAGGAAGGACTCTGCATGGGCCTTGAGCCTCAAATCAGGCCCATTTTCTGTTGTGGATGAGTAAATGGTCATTCTGGTTTGTTATTTATCCTCCAGTGAAGTTGCTTGGCATAAAGTAATCTTCCGAGTAAACAGATATAACCAAGGTCCTGAATCAGCAGAGCAGAGAACTAACCCTGGATCTGTAGTGACCCCACCACAGCCCCAAATTCCCACGAGGTAATTTCCTTTTCTAAAATCATTTACTTCCTTTGCTTGGATCATGCCCTAATTATCCTTAAACTCTGAAGGGACTCCATCAAGATACGACATTGCTGGATCATATTGCCTCCTGCCTGAACTATTGCAATGTTATTTTATTGGCCTGTGTCTACAGTGCTTCTTAAGGGTTTTCATGAAATTTGTCCTTTGGCCTCTTGAGACAGTACCCACTCTGTGTCTAAATTTGTTCAGGTTACTATAGAAGACATATTTTAAAGTGCATCACAAAATCACTACCTTCAAGGTTTTTACCTTCCTGTTGAAAAGAAAAGGCTTGTAAATAAAATGATGAATGAGCAATTTAGTCAAGTTTATAATCTAGTTTTCACTTGAACGTAACTGTCAGTGTGTATAGCGTAAATACAGGATGTCAGGCTCTGGCCGGGTAACTCAGTTGGTTAAAGCATCGTCCCCATACACCAAGGTTGCAGGTTCAAGAAACAACCAATGTACAAGAAGCAACTAGTGAATGCATAAATGGGTGGAACAACAAGTTGATGTTTCTCTCCCTCACCTTTTCCCTCTCTCTCTCTAAAAAAAAAAATATTGATTGTAGAATGTCAGAAGGAGAGCAATCATTATGAGACAGATGCATTAGGGAACATTTTTAAGGCAAACATGGGATTTAAGGTGTGTTTTGAATAGGTTCAGTCATTGTATTAATTAGGATCTATTGGTTGCAAGTGATAGAAACCCAACTCAGATTAATTTAGGTAAAGGATATTTATTGGTGCATGGAAGTCAAGGAAATATTCAATAGCCAAGCCATGGCAAGACAACTGATGCAGCTGAGCCTCAGGATCAACTAGAATTGGCAGAATAAATGCTGACTGAACCTTGTTTTATCCTCCCATTCTTGCCTCTGTCAGCACCTTTATTTTACCTTGCCACGAACCAATATTCTTCACAATATTAGCAGGTAACTCAGGAGCTCCAGAAGAGCCACTAATAATAAAAGGGCTCTTCCAAGTTTTAGTTCAGAAAATTCCTGGGAATAACTTGATTGGCCCATTGCAGACCAACTGCTTACCACTGGACCAATCAGCTGAAGTGGGGAGAGTCAAGTAAACATCTGAGGCCAAACTTACCTCATGGGGAAGAGGGAGGAATGCTGAGTAGAGAAAATATTAACTCGATTATAAGGAGGATTGAGTGTGGTTTAGGCAGATACCAGCTTGGATGAGAAATTGAGGATAAGTATAAGAATTCTCAATGGAGTAGGCTATTATGGTGGTTTTAAAATTTATGTAGTGGCACATCTGGAGGCCAAAGGAATATGGTTGTCAGCTTGGGTGCCACACTTTAAAATGTAAGTAGGCAAACTGTTGTGTCCAGAGTAGGGCAGTCAGTAGACTGAATGCAGGTTTTATAGGAGCAGTAACTATCTGGGTTTCACTGGGTTTGGAGAGAAGGAGCAAAAGATCAAAGACAGCAAAGAGTGCTCCATGGGATTTAGGGCGGGCGAGAGGAGGTCTTAAGAGGAGAAGTCAAGGATAGGCCAAGGATTTCCAGTTTAAAAGGACATGGGCATTTTCAGAAATAGGGATGATAGGAGGAGTTAATGTAGGTAAATATGATAGTTCAACTTTAGACGTACCTAGTGGTCTATCCCACTGCTGGAACTGCTATGGAGAGGCTGGAAATGTTTACTGGGGTGTAGGGAAAGAGGTTATCACAGTCTTTAGATAACTCATCTCTGAAACTAGAAAAGAGGAAGGCGCAGTCTGGGCCTTGGAAACAACTCTAAGGTTGTGGGAAGAGAAAGAAGAGTCAGTGAAGGAGGCAACTAGGGAAGGTTTGAGGAGGTAGGAGAGTTAGGCAAGTGTAGAGACTAGAGAAATGAGAACAAAATTTCAAGAAGGAAGAGGTGGGAGCATGGAAACTGATGATGAAGGAAACTTGGAAAAAGTAATTGTATTTGATGAGGTCTTTTCAGAGCCCTAGAGAGGAACGGTGTTGACTGCTGAGCACTAAACTTCTACTTCAGACTGAGCCCTTAACTCCTGTTAGCACTGTACTAGGTGCTGAGGACAGGAAGAACAGCACAGACTGGACTCAAGAAGCTCACAGTGTGTTAAAGGAAGTGAGAACTAAATTAACAATTCAGATACAATGTTGAAAGTACTTAAACAGGTGTGCACTAGATAGTAACAAAAACCCTGCAGAGTGGGCGACCCCACCCGGCCGGATAGGGAAACCGCGAGTAGGACGGCTTGACATCCCCGGGCGTGCTGGGTCTCCAAAGATTTCCGCGGGGCGATTCCAGAGGAACCAATTCTCTAAGATCATAGATCTTGGGCGGCTTTGGGGCGATGGGACGCGAGGGGGCCCTGGCACCTCCGGGCTAAAGAAAGTTGGCGATATCAGGGTCCTATTTGGAAGCCGCGGGATGGAGTTTGCGGTCAAAAGATGGGATGCAGGAAGAGGCGAATAACTTGTCTACATTCTTCCCTTTTTTTCGCATAAGGCAGGAAATATCAGGAGTGGCAGAAGCCCGACTCTTTGGAAAACTAGTAGACCAAAAGCCTCAGGTCACCTGGCTTGGTGACCCTTATTGCTATTCCAAAACCTCCGCATCGGGCCGGAACTCGATTCAAATGCCTGGTTTGGCGCCGGACTGTGAAAGCAGATGGACTTTCATGGGAAACTGGATTACCCGGTGGAGAAAAGCTGGGGACCTGGAGGAAGCTGCTGTTCAGCGCCGGCTGGGCAGGCAAGTGGGCTTTTGCCCGCGGCTCGTGCTCCCGGGACGGGCGAGGGCTATGCAACACGAGAAGGTGAGGAGTGAGGGGATCACTGCGCTGCAGAGTGGCTTTGACCGCTCCCCAACTCGTTCTGAGAGCCTGACGCCCGGGCTCAAGAGAATTTTGCCGCTTACTAGCTGTATGACCTCGGGCAATTTTATTTTGGAACCTTCGTTTTCTATCTCTGTAATTGGGCTAATAGTAGTATCTCTCAGGGTTGTTGTGAAGAGTCAGTGAAAATACGCTTAGAACAGTTTCTGGCACATAGTAAGCTCTGGATATACAATCTTTAAAAAGACTGCCCTGTTTTTCTGCATGGGTTTTGTTGCTGTCAAAAGATACCCACTTCGGGAGGATCATCCGTTAACCGGATTAACTTTATTGGTAAAAATATGAGACAACACTTATAATTAAAGTTGTGTTAGGGACGTAACATTACTGAGGGCTTGGAAAAATGGGGTGAATGTTACTCATAATCGCATCATCCTACATAAGACTTTAAGACTTTTATCCCCCAATCCCGCCCAAATATTTCTTCTGTACATTTTTATACTTGTAATGTTAGCATGTATGCAATTTTGATTCCTTCTTGTTTTCTGCTTAGTGTAGGCTATGTATGGAGTTCAGAAGAATCATTTTTATGATCGTACAAATTCCATTTTATGAGCATATCATTTGTCTCCCAAATTCCTGTATATGTAGAGATAAAATCATTCACGTACTATCAGTGAGGGAAATTTAAATATTACCTATGATTCCTGGACATCAGATCACCTTTTTACTTTTCCTGGTTTCCTTCTATTTGTAATTCATGTGAAAACATTTTTTTTTAAAGATTTTATTTATTTATTTTTAGAGAGGGAAGGGAGGGAGAAAGAGAGAGAGAGAAACATCAATGTACGGTTGCTGGGGGCCGTGGCCTGCAACCCAGGCATGTGCCCTTACTGGGAATCGAACCTGTGACACTTTGGTTCACAACCCACGCTCAATCCACTAAGCTACGCCAGCCAGGGCCTGAAAACATATTGTTTGCATGGTTTTCATTTATTCAGACATCATTGAGCATCAGTTATGTTCAAGCCGTAGTGCCTAAGATTAAGGAGGTCAGGCTAGTGGGTAGACAGACGAAAGCAGTACTCTAATACTATGTAAGGATTGTGAGGTATGCTCAGGTTCTTAGGAGACTGTAGAGGAGGAGCAGTGTCAATGCCACCCACAGTCAGAGGCCACCAGGAAGGTGCTTATTGTGCAACAAGTTGGGTTTATTACTCCTTGTAATACACACCAGGGGAAACCACAGGGGATCTTAGTTTAAGAGGGTGCTAGGAGGGATTTGTTACAGACTCGTGTCACTTAACAACAGGAATACATTCTGAGAAATGCATCCATAGGTGATTTTGTCATTGTTTGAATGTTACAGAGTGTACTTACACAAACCTACATGGTCTAGCTGCTACATGCCTAGGTTATGTGGTATAGTCTGTTGCTCCTACCTTATAAACCTGTGCAGTAGACACTGTACAAAACAACACAAGATTAAATCAAGCACAAGAAAAAATGCAGTCTCTTGACTGAACACAAGATGTAAGAGGCTGCTGATGGTATAGCACAGTATACAGTTTTATGGCAAACTTTTTTATTTTTACAAGTAGAAAGAGTACACTCTAATGACAAAAAAGCATAGTAAATAAAGAAACCAGTAACAGTCATTTATTATCATTATCAATTATTTGCTGTGTGTAATTGCGCTATACTTTTATATGACTGGAAGCACAGTAGGTTTGTTTACACCAGCATCACCGCAAACGTGAGTGGTGCGCTGCACTACGTCTCTGACATTAGGATGGCTATGATGTCACTAGGTGATAGGAATTTTTCAGCTCCATTATAGTCTTACTTATGGGACCACCTTTATATACTTGGTTTGTTTTGGGTTGGCCAAAAGGTCCATTTAGTTTTCCGTAGAATAAAAGACACATTTCCCATTTTCACAAATAACTTTATAATTTAGATATTTTGACTGTGTCGGCTATCTCCTGCATAGTATAACATTGATTGTTCCCCATTAATGTCTCAGTTTGATCGCTATTGACTGTCAAGTGGTCTACCCATCCAGATGATGGGGTGGTGTCCAGTGAGAAATTTCCAGCACAAAACTTTGCAAACTACTTTTGACACAGTCAGTCATGACACCCTCTCCATTCACTGCAAAAACCTTTTCTTGCATTACAGTTGTGTTTTTATTTTTCTTGAAATAATAAAGTATAATACAGTGAAAATGTGTATTTTCTTCTATTTTCAGTGTTAGAATGGCTACACAAAAATTCACCAATTTTGATAAGTTTTTTTAATGCACACTAATATGACAGCTGGCACAATACAATCTAACAAATTGTTTTAAATGAAGTTAAAGACAACTAAGCACTACTAGAGCCATTGTAGAGAAAAAAACAAACTTCTTGGCCAACCTAATAGTTGACTGAAATGTTATTTGTGTGCAACTATATTGGATTTAGACTTGTGTTAAGTGATTTTGGGGAAAGTAGTCAGGAGGTGGAGTTAATTCTCTGATTGGGTATCTTAAATACTATCTAGGAGAGAATCTTACCTGGAGTGAGGCTAATGCTGTGACTGGTGGTGATACAGCAGTCACTCCTATTAGCCAGGGTAGTAGAATGTTTGTTGGTACTTGTGGTTTGAACAGTCTTTTTTTTTCCCCCCCTGTTTTCCGACATGATCACATTGGTCTTAACAGAGCTGAGGGTATTACCCACAGATGTATGGAGAAGTTAGACCAGGCAGTTGGATGCATTTTGGAGGACCTTGTGTACCATTTTAGGAGTTTGAATTTCTGGGGGAAGTTGCTGCATTAGTATAAGGGGAGTGCCATCATATTTTAAAAAATCCGTTTTGTTGTCAGGCAAAGGGTGAACTGGAAGGGGATCTAAGCCAGGGAGATGTGTTAGGACTTTGCTATTTGAAGGGTGTTCTATGGGCCAATAACAAGGGCATCACCTGGGAGCTTGTTAGAAATGCAGAATCTCAGGTGCCATTCTTTACCTAATAAGTCAGAATCTTCATTTTAACAAAATCCCCGGATTATTCATAGGTACTTTAAAGTTTGAGAAGCCCTTTGTTACGAGAATTAGAGTAGTCCCAGTAAGAAGCAGTATGGCATTGAACTATGACGCTAGTGATGGAGGTGAAGAAATGTGGAGATATTATTTGTTCAACAGATATTAGAGGCCTTCTGCATCCCTGACACCATCCTGAGAGCTGGAAGTACCATAATGAAGATAATCTCTTCCCTGAAGACACTTCCAATCTGATGGGGTAGACTGACAAGTGAACTTGTCAGTGACTGTAGCAGGGAAAGTGTAAGCCCAGAATCGGTGAGAACACATCAGAGGGATGTGGGTCTTGGTGGAGTTGAGTAGTCAAGGAAGGATTTTTGGAGGATATCTAAGCTGAGTCCAAAGGATAAATTAGCCAGGCAAAATCAGTGGAAGGCATTCCTGGCCCAGGATTAGCTATGGGCCAAGGCCTGAAGTTCAGAGGGAGTAGGAGTGGTGCTCGTTGAACCACAAGTGTCCTCTGTGATTGGAGCACAGAGTGGGGTATGGCTACGGTGAGGCTGGAGAGATGAGCAGACAATGGATCTGGAGGAGTTTGTAGACCCTGTGGAAGAAGTTGGGCTTTATTTTTAAGATCATGAGGGAGCCTCTGGAGGGTTTTCATCAGAGAATATTAATGATTAGTTTGTTTTAGGCTCTTCTAGATGCTGAGTGGTGGGATGTGATGGGGTTGCATGCCTGGAGGCAGGGAGCAGAGTTCAGTGAGGGATCTAGGACAGAGGAGGTGCTGGCTCGCCTAATGTGGGGAACGAGGGAGGAGGGGCATTCTGGGAAGTACGACTAGTCCTGTGTTGTAATTAGGGTAGTCTGGGTCTTATTTTGATGTAGACCCTTAGGCAAGTGAGGCAGGTGAACTGGATTTGGCATTGTAGAGACTTTTTTTTTTTTAAGTTTTCAATGTTCCACTTAGTTTCTAATTCACTACCGAGTTCTGACTAGTGGGTGTTTCCATTTTTATTTTTTCTCTCTCCTGGTCTCTAGGGCCAAGACAGGACAAAGACAAAGAAACTGGCATTACATATTTTATTTCCTTTTAGAGGCAGTTGGAACAAGTAGGAGAGGGGACTATTTAGTCTTCCTGGTTCTGGCAGCACTTCCTGCCAACACTTACTACATGTTGCCGCTGAGGCAAAGTTATTATTTTACTAGAGCTATAGACGTTACATCGCTAATCCTTTACATAGAGAGAGGCAGCAACTTCTAGTGGAAGGACTTCAGGCCAGCAGTCTAGTTCTCACTTCTTTACTGTTAGCATTGTGAGCTGAGGGAAGTCACTTAACCTGTTCGTGTCTATTTGCTGGAGAAGGGACATAGCTACCTGCCTTGTCCTACAGGAGTCATCTGTGCGTTAATGGGATAATATATGTTGAGGTGACTTGAAAATACTAAGACTGGTGCTTAAATATGATGGTATTGTGCTACTGATGTTTAGTTTCTATCTTTGAGGAGCTCCAATAGTGACTGATAGTCAAAGCCTTGTTTCTCAAAGTGTGAGCCTTGGACTAGGAGCTTGTTAGACATGAAGAATCTTGGGGATCTTGTTAGACTTACTGTATCAGAGACTCCTCTTATAGCCACCATTCCATCTGATCTTCAGAAGACTCCCTTAAGGTAGGTAGGGGAGGTGTTAACACAACCTTACCCCCAAGGAATGGAGACCTTAAAACATCAACTGCTTTACTTGAGGGTAAACAGCTTTATTAGGTTTAGCCATACGGGACTGTCAGTATTCACAAATACAACCCAGTAAGAGAGCAGGGCCAGGTATAGAGCAGAGCTCGGTGTCCCATCCAAGCTCTCTAACTCCATACACAGTGTGCACTCTAAGTCCCCCCTTTTTAAATGAAGTGCTACTATGTCAGTTAGCCTAGGCCCTGGAATGAATTAGGTGAATACTTTATTTTAGAAACCAATTATTTCTTTAAAAATCCCATTGCGGTGGAGTCATCAAAAAAAGAAACAAAAAATGAAAACAAATAAACAAACCCAAAACAAGCAAGTAAACAAAATAGAGCGTAAAAATTTGTTTTAAAGTTGACACAGTCTCACCCTGACTGGTGTGGCTCAGTGGCTGGGTGTCATCCTACAAACTGGAAGATTTCCAGGTCAGTTCCTGGTCAGGGCTACACCTGGGCTGCAGGCTAGACCTCCAGTTGGGGGTGTGTGAGAGGCAACTAATCAGTTTCTCTCTCACATCCACGTTTCTCTCTCTCTCCCTTCCTTTGCCTCTCTCTAAAAGTAAAAGCTTTTTAAAAATTGATACAATCTTATGAAACACATACTCGAATTATTTTGGGGTTGGTTATAAACTCCATGAAGGGACCTGTGTTTATATTCATTTTGGTGTTTTTGACAAGGCAGTGGGATGCAGTACGCGCAGTGCAGCCAGTGTTCTCATCGTAAGCCCTGGGTAAATGTTTATTGAATTTGAAAATGAGTTCATGAAATGATACATGATCCATGTTGAGTTTGAAATTGTGATGTATTTTTTGCTGTAGTGGTAACTCTTCAATATCTCTTCCATTACAGGTTGGATTGGGCTATTGGCTGAAGCTTCTTTCCATGGTAGCTTAGGGAGAAATTCACGTTTTGATGTTTTCTTACCATGGCTTTGGTTCACAAGTGGATGAATGGCACTTACAGTCTTAGAAAATGCCTGAAGCTAAGTGATGCCTCACGTCCATTTTTGAGTACTCGCTTTGCAGACTATTGTTCTAGTGGTCTTCAGAAACCGGTAGCTACTCCTGGCAAAGCTTCCGCTCAGGGGAACACTGAAGGGGGTTTACAAGGAGATCACCAGAGAGAAGTCGCTTTGGATATAACTTCTCCTGAGGACAAGCCTGAAGCTAGTTTTGATAAAGCAATTAAAGATGAAATAAAGGACCATTTGAGGCGTTTGAAGGATGATATTGTGAATCATTGGATAGGGCCCGAAGGCCGCCCTCTGCATGAGGTCTTGATGGAACAGGCCAAAGTGGTCTGGCAGTTCCGTGGAAAAGAAGATTTGGATAAGTGGACAGTGACTTCGGATAAGACAATTGGAGGCAGAAGTGAAGTGTTCCTGAAAATGGGCAAGAATAACCAAAGTGCGCTGCTGTACGGAACTCTGAGCTCCGCGGCGCCTCAGGACGGCGAGAGTGACCGCAGTGGGTACTGTGCAATGATGTCCAGGGTCCAACGGGTAGGTGAGGCCCAGGAACCTGAGTTTTCTAGTGAACTGGGGTGAACTTCATTGTGGCGTGAACTGTAGCCAAGAGCTTTTGTTCCTGTGAATGAGAACACCTAGCATCTCATCTGGTGTGGGGCTAAGTAGCCACTGTGTAGAGTGAAGCACCAGGGGAGGCAGTTCCTGAGGAGGGGCTGCTTGTTTCTGGGCACCACTTTGGGCCCCAGTGGGGCATTCTCATGTCTGAGGAGCCTCGAGGGTTAGACACTGGACCACGACCTGGGGAGGTTTGCGTATCCTCTGACGTAGGCTGTGGACCGGGGCTCTCTGATCTGTAATGGCCAGGGGCTCCTTACAGTGGCTGTGGCTTTTTAAAAAAAATTAAACAGTTTAAGGGTACTTTTGTAGTTTGACAGGAAAATTGCTAAGTGGTGCAGAGTTCCTGTGTGGCTCTTACCCAGCTTCTCCAGTCCTTACCATCTTACACTGCTGGGGTATATTCGTCACAGCTAAGACACCAGCGTCAGTGTGTTACTAACTCATTCCAGACTCTCTTTGGATTTCACTAGTGTTCCCATTAATATTTCTTTTCTGATCCAGGAACCCTCATTACATCTAGCTGTCATGTCTCCTTAGTCCTCTGGTCTGTGATAGTTTCTTAGTCTTTTCTTATTTTTCGTGAAGATTTGATGAATACTGGTCAGGCATTTTGTAAAATGACCCTCAGTTGGGGATTTTCTGATGTTGTTTCCTCCTGGTTAGACTGGGGTTGTGGGTTTTTAGGAAGAACGACACGGAGTGTAAGTGTCCCTTGCATCACATCATAGGAAAGGTACATGCCAGCAACATGACTTATCACTGACGTGTTAGCCTTGGTCACCTGGTCAGGGTGGTATTTGCCAGGTTACTTCATCGTTCAGTTACTTTCTTCTTTCTTTACCACGTTCTTTGGAAGCAAGTCACTAAATACACCCTACCTTCAAGTCAGGAAGGGTGTGGGCTGAAGTTGTATCTCCTGGAAGGTGCAGTATATGCATAAATTATTTGGGATTCTTCAGAAGAAATTTGTTTCTTCTCTCACATTTATTATTCATTTAGTATGAACTCATACTTTGGGTTATAATCCAATACTATGTTATTTATTTTGTTGCTCAAATTGTTCCAGCTTTGGCTTTTGGGAGCTCTTTTAGGTTGGCTCCTCTCCCTCCTATCTGCAGCCGTCTTTTTGTTTTTCTGAGCACTTTCTGGCTCTTCAAGATGTTCAGGCTCACCTTGTATTTTCCCTGGCCCAGCGCTGTAATAAGCCATTTCTTGAAGGAGCCCCGGCTCTGTTTTTATGGAAAATGGCATTAGAAACCAAGATCTGGGCATTGCATATGCTCGTTGCTACTGGGTTGACATTAAGTCCAGGACGTCTCAGTGGACATACCTAGGAAGTATGTGTATGCATACCAGCCATGGGAACACACATGTCTGTAATTATTTCTGTGTCCATAGTAAGTTAAATATGAGTTCATAGTAATGCTCTGACTCAAAGTCACAGAAGAAACATGTAAAGCAGTTTCAGAATTTTTAACCCATAACTCTGTGAAACAACTTTACCAACTAGAATACAGTTTATTTAGCTGTATAGTTTCCAGTCAGAACACTATTTTTTTAAAAGATTTTATTTATTTATTTTTAGAGAGAGAGGAAGGAAAGAAGAAAGAGGAGGAAGGAGAGAGGGAGAGAAACATCAATGTGCGGTTGCCTCTTGTGCGCCTCCTACTTGGGATCTGGCCTGGAGCACAGGCATGTGCCCTGACTGGGATTGAACCGGTGACCCTTTGGTTCACAGGACCTGCTCAATTCACTGAACTACAGCAGCCAGGGCAAGAACAGTATTTTGAAAGTTACTTAGGTCAGTTCATTTATTTCTCCACTGACCTATAGCCTTTTGCAGATCTGTTGACAAGGTAATTGTTTCAGGGCTGCCCCGGACAGGTCCCCATGTCTGGCCTTGGCCACAGCCCCTTGTATATTGTGCTTCAAAGAGAAAGACAAATGTTATGAGTAGTATTAGGCTCCTTCTCACCAGAAGGTGAAAAAGAAAGGTAGGAATTCTTTCAGAAGCAACAAACTATGCATACAGGATTTTTTTTCAGGCCCTGAAAATCTACAAAATGGATTTAATCAGCCCATAGTAGGAAATAATTCTATGGCTAGATATGTACTATGGAATAATGGAAAATATTGAAAACATTTATTAAGTATACCCTGCCAGCCCTTGTGCTGATTAGTTTATGTGTATTATCCCCTTTATTCCTCACAACAATATTTTAAGGTATGATCATCCCTATTTTACAGATGAGGAAACTGAGCCTTGGGGAGATTTAGTAACTTGTCCAAAATTATAGTTCATATCTGCACACTGGTTTTCTTGAAATCAGATTACCTCTGAGATCGCTATAAGTAAACACCTTTGGAAATTAACACTAAATTCCACTTTGAAAGAGAGACAGAATAGGTAGTTGTTAAGAACACAGATTTTGGAGTTAAACAGTACTGGATTTATTGGTATTAATTGAGTGCTCAGTTTCTTCATCTATAAAATGGACTACAATGATAGTACCTGTCTCCTAGGGTTGTTGTGAGGATTAAATTTTGTGTGCCAGGTTAATAAAAGTTTTCAATGAATGGTAGCACTTGCTATAAAAATACCAATTTTAGAACTTGAGGTCTTTCAGTTTTCTAATTTTCGTGAAGGCAGTTGTCATTAAACGGCCTGCTCAGAAGCCATGGCTGCGTTGGACCAGGAAAGGAAGGTACCTAACAGTAACTCTTTTCCACACAGTGACACAAGTGGGTGCCTACGCCATGTAAACTCCTGGGGCAGTCCGGTCTCGAACATTACCTTAGAAACATATAACTATGTCAGTATTTGGTACTAAAATAAGAATCACCAAATTTATCTGCTTCCTTATGGTAACAGCTGAAAAAGAAAAAATAGCTAGTGGATCCTTTTGTTGCTGTAAAAGGCGATGACTCACATTTTGATAACAGTGGAAAATGAAGTGAAATTAACTTTCCTTTCTGCACCTTAGGGCCCTTTTGACATAAAGAGACCTTACGACTGGTCCCAGTTCAACACTCTGTATCTCCGCGTCCGCGGAGATGGTCGGCCTTGGATGGTGAATATCAAGGAAGACATGGATATGATCCAGAGGAAGAATCAGATGTACAGTTACTTCATGTTCACCCGTGGGGGGCCCTACTGGCAGGAGGTCAAGGTAACAGCACAAGCCTTTACTGTGTATGAAATTAGGACTTTTGAGGTCATGGTTACATTGTAGTTTTTTTTTCTTTCTTATTAGTCTGTATTGGAAGGTGTGGGAAGGAAACGAAGAGGACCTGGGGCAAGATTTATATAATTGACTTTTTCTTTGACTAATATAAATTTTAGCCTACTAACCAAAAAATATTTTTGGTAAGAATATGGCCAGGTGCATGCTAAGTGGGTACATCTCTCTTTGAGCCTAAGTAGATATTTCTTTTTTAAGTTTCTGCTGTATCATTTCTTCAAGGCAACTCTACTAAGCTGATGTCCCAAACTTAGTAGAAAGGCTCCCTTAAGAGAAATAAATACTTCATAATTTACAATCATCAAAATTTTTATTTCTTTTCCTGGCTGGTGTGGCTCAGTGGATTGAGCACTGGCCTGCAAACTGAAAGGTCACCGGTTTGATTCCTAGTCATGGCACATGCCTGGGTTGCAGGCCAGGTCCCCAACTGGGGGTGTGTAAGAGGCAACCAGTTGATGGTTCTCTCCCTCCCTTCCCCTATCCCTAAAAGTAAGTGAAGTCTTACAAATAAATAAATAAAAATTGCATACTCTGTGCATCTTCTGTACCTGTTCATATTTTTAAAATGTAGATCCTGGAGAGCTTCCATATTACTATAGGGAGTTATTCTTCATCCTTCTTCTTCTTCTTCTTCTTTTTTTTTTTTTGGTATTTTTTGTTATGTGGATAACCCATTGCATTTTTAAATATTTTATTTATTTGAAAAATTAAACTTTTTCATTAGAGGTACACGGGGGTAGAAAGAGAAGGAGAGAAACATCATTTGGTTATCTTCTGTATGCACCTTGACTGGGGACTTAACCTGCAACCCAGGCATATGCCCTGTCTGGGAATTGAACCAGTGACCTTTTGGCTTGCAGGACAACCCCTAACCAATTGAGTCACATGGGCCAGGGCCAGGGCCAGGGCAGATATCCCATTGTTGATTGAATAAATCCTGTATTGATAGTCACTTAGTTGTTAACAGTTGCTATAGTAAATACATTATTACAGTTTTGAGATATTTAAAAAAAATTTTTTTAAGAAAAAAGCTAGTTTTGTCTATATTTTACTTTTTCATGAACCAGATAAACATACATGTCTCTAGATCTCATGCACATGCTTCGGCTGGTGCTTATCACTCCTTCCTGTTACTTCTTTTATCTTACTTATTGACTAATATATTGTGGAGGTATTTTTATGTGTGTGCTATTAGAAAAAGCTATATCTTGATATATTTGTCAGAGTTTATCTGAAATACAAATTTTTAAATGTGAAATTGGTAGGTCAAAGTTATAGCATTTCAGATTTTTTTTAGATAGTGCTGTTTTCTATTGCTACGTAAAAAACTTGCCATAAACATAGCAGCTTCAAAAACATATTTGTTAGCTCATAGTTCTGTAGGTTGTAAGTTGGGACCCAGTAGATCTGGGTTCAACACTCAAGAGTCCTGTGAGGTTGTAATCAATGTGTTAGCTGGGCTATACTCCTTTCCGGAGGCTCTGGGGAAGAATCTTCCAAGGTCATTCCTGTTTATTAGCTAAATTCAGTTCCTGTGACTTGAAGGGCTGTTATCCTGTTTCTTTACTGGCTGTCAGTTGGGGAACCACTCTCAGCTCCTAGAAGCTGCCTGCATTCCTGGCCATTTAGCTCCATCTGTCTTCAAAGCCATCAGTTGAGAATCCATTCCGCCCCCCCCCCCCCCGCCCCCAGTCCCTTTCATGCTTCTAATCTTTCACCAGTCAAGTCCCCTTTATGGGTTCAAGTGTAATCTTCCTTATATAAAAGTCAACTGATCGAGGATCTCCTGCCCAGTTCCATAATAGCAACACTGAGTTTAGTGTTCGAATAACTTGAAGAAGGTGTGTGCACTAGAATTAGGACATCTTGGGGGCCATCTCAGAATCCTGCCTGCCACAGTTGCTGGCTGCCCTCTGAAAGAGATGCAATAATTTGTGCTCCTTCACAAGTGTGTCTTTTTCTCTCCGTCCCCATTTTTCTATTGGGTTGTTTAATCATTTTCTTAGTTCTATTATTTGTGATCCAAATGACTAGCCACTTGTCCTAACTGCATATATTAAATAATTTGAGAATTAAACTATTATTTTTTTATCATTACAATTACATACAAAGTTCTCAGTTACTTATATTTTGGGTATGAAGTAAATGGTTTCTTCTTTTTTCAGATTCCATTCTCCAAATTTTTCTTCTCTAATCAAGGGAGAATCCGGGATGCCCAGCACCAACTCCTGCTTGACAAGGTAACGTTGTCCTCTACTTTGACTCAGAAGTATATTACCTTTAGTGAAACAGAACTGCTGTCAGGAGGAGTTCAGTCCATTTTTGAAGGCTTGCAAAGGAAAGGTGGAAATTGCTACTCATGGCCACCCCTTATATCCGCATAGGTGTCGACACAGACCTATCCTTTGAGCCAAACCCCTGTCCTGGAGAATTTCATTATGGTCTTCTTTTCAGCATGCCTACCTTTTATTTTAGCTTTAAAGTAAGGGAACAGTACTAAGAGTTCAGGAGAGCATCAAGAACCCCCGTTAGGCATCCATGCTGCCTTTACCAGTCTTTAGTGACACTACATTAAAGGAAGAGGAGAGGAAGTGGAATGTGGAAAGTAGACCTGTACTTCCTCTTATAATTCGCTACAGCTTCTGGGAACTATGCTCTACTTGCTAAGGGCTGATAGTATAAAGATGCAGCCATAGCCATCACCTCTTGGAATGGGAAGCTCCAGGAACAAACATCAGTACCTTTCGTGCATGTGATTTTAATCAATTTCTGTATTTTAAATTTAGATCTCTTCTATCGGATTCACCCTGGCTGATAAAGTGGATGGTCCATTCTTCCTGGAAATAGATTTTATTGGAGTGTTTAATGATCCAGCCCACACAGAAGAATTTGCCTACGAAAATTCTCCAGTGCTTAACCCAAAACTTTTTAAATAGTGATCATGTGGTAGTTCTGTATTACTAAACTAGGGTAGTAGTATCTACGATGAGGGACAAAATAAAGTATTTCTTTGATGGCATACAATCAGTGGCTGGTATATAGTCCCTAAGACAAAGCTAAATGGTGCTCCCAAGAGGGACCATCCGTATAGTGGGAACACAGCATGAAACCAGGTTCTAAGCTGTACCTTAACTTAGGGAATTGCAAGTACTATACTGATGCAGAGGTGCTATGTAAGTAACTGTTTTCAGTTGGTTAGAATGATTCCTATTAGAAACAATTCCTGCGTGGTTTACAAAGCAAGGAGTCTGAGATGACTGTTGATGGCCTCCTACCACTCTGTTCCTTAAAGGTTTCTTCTGTTTTCTAATCCATCTTTGAGGGAAACTGCTGAAGAACATTTAAGATAAACAAGTCACTGAGAAAAGACACATGTACTGTCTTAGTCTGCTTGGGCTGCTATACCTAATTACTGTAGACCAGGTAGCTTAAACACACACTTATTCCCCACAGTTCTGGGTGCTGAGAAGTCTAAGGTCAAGGTACCTGCATGTCTGGTGTCTGGTGAGGGTCTGCTTCTTTGATTATAGACAGCTGCCTTCTTGCTGTATCCTTACAGGGGTCTCCTTCTTAAAGACACTAATTTCATTACAAGTACTCCACCCTCATGACCCAGTTGCCTTCCAAAGGCCCTCCCACCCCCAAGTACCATCATATTGGAAATTGGGGTTGTAATGTGTGAATTTGGAGGCAACACAGACATGTAGTCCATAATACATAGAGAACTAACTAGTCTCCCAAAGATAAATGATCCTTACCAGTTCTTACTTTGTAGTGACTTTGATGTAACCACTAGAGAAACTAAATCAGGTATCAAACTAACGTCCCCTAAACTTCCCCAGTCATTTTAAGTATCACAGAGATTGCATAGGCCAAAACTGAGAATAATTAATAGGGTTTTAAATTGGTCATTCTTATCTTACAAAAAGGAGATAGGAAACTATTATTATAGTCGGAGTAAAACTATATTATAATTAAGAGTACCCTAAGAGAGCCAAGTTTAAAATAAATAAGAGAATATAAATCATTCAGGTGACTTGGCCCCCCTACAGCCCAGATTTGGTGCCCTGCAAATCATGGTCATTTCTGGCTTTTCCCAAAACTAAAATCACCTTTGAAAGGGAAGAGATTTGCAGACTGTGAATGAGATTCAGGAAAATACAGCGGGGTAGCTGATGATGACTGGGAGAGCCGAGTGAGGTCCCAAGGTACCTACTTTGAAGGGGACTGAGGCATCATTGTCTTGTGTACAAGGTTTCTTGTATCTTCTTCAGTAAATGTCTTTATTTTTCATATTACATGGCAGGATACTTTCTGGACAGACCTCATGTATACCTAGGTGTAGAATTGCTTGGTCACATGATACATGTACATTGAACTTTTTTTTTTTTTAATTTTAATCATTGTTCAAGTACAGTTTTCTCCCTTTTACTCCCAATCCAGCCCACCCTCCCAACCCTCCCCACTTCCCTCCCATTACCACCCTCCCCCTAGTTTTTGTCCATGTGTCCTTTAAATTTGTTCCCATAAACCCTTCCCATTGTCCCCTGAAATTTCCTCTTCTCTCCCCTGTGGTCACTGTCAGCCTGTCCTCTATTTCAGTGTCTTTGGTTATACTTTGCTTGTTTCTTTGTTTTGTTGTTTAGGTTCCTGTTAAAGGTGAGATCATATGGTATTTGTCTTTCACTGCCTGGCTTGTTTCGTTTAGCATAATGCTTTTCAGCTCCATCCAAGCTGTGGCAAAGGGTAGGAGCTCCTTCTTTCTTTCTGCTGCACAGAATTCCATTGTATAAATGTACCATAGTTTTTTGATCCATTCACATTGAACTTTTTAAAGAAACTACTAAACTGTTTTTCAACATGGTTGTATAATTTTACCTTCTCAGCAGCAGTATATTTGACAGTTACCCCACGGTTTCTTGATTTATCTGATCAGTGCCTTCTGACAGCAAAATCTAAGTTGATTAAGCACCCAGGAGTGTGTCGTGTTCTGTGGGTTCATCAGTGTGAAAACACAAAAGAAGGACATGGTCACTTCTTGGGGTGGGCGGGGTGTGGTCAGGAAAGGATGAAGAGCACGAGGGACCTTGTCCATCTTAGCTGGTCAACCAAATCTAAGAAGACAATTGTTTACAAAGAATGAATCTACCACCGTGAGGAAAAATTTTATTTATGAAAATCTGAGGCAGTACAAAACCCAGAAGAGCTCCACTTATGTGTAGCAAACATGGATGTGATACTAAGCAACTCCAGTCTCTCCATCAATTGAATAAGATATAAGTTTGACAGCACAGCAATCCTTAAAGCAGCAACCCTCCAACTTCAATATGGCTTCGTATATTGTTAAATAAGCAAGGCTAGAACAAGCTACAGAATTTTTAAGAATATATTAAGTGAGATGGCAATTACATGACACAATCTAAACAAAGGTGCATAAGCTTGAAAAAAACCACTACAACATGGGTAAAATATTGATGCCATAACCAATACATATGGCCCACAGTTTCATTAAGTGATTAGATTCTCTAGAGGATGAAGAAGTGACTTTGCCCAGCTTATCCTATTCCTCTTCCTACTGTTCAACTTCTACTAAAGCTTGCCTAGAAGAGGATCACAACTGTGTTAATATTAGAGCTAGCAGAGGGAACTTGGCATTAATAATGTAGGTCAAGAATCTATAGGATGGAATAAAAAAATCTATAGGATGGGTGTCGTTAGAAAACTGAGTTGTACTGGGACTTAGGTTAAAACCATTTGGAAGAATTTTTGAGTTTTAAGGTAATGAACACGTGCTACTTTAGAACAGAGAAAGAAAAAGATCTTTTGACTAAAGTGGGAAAAACAGTACAAAATATTTACAAAAGAAGGTTCAGAATAAAGGAATATTTACAGAATGTTAAACTATTAATCTGCAGCCATAATGAGACCCCTTCGAGTTCCCAAAACCTTTGCTTTTTTCTCCTTTCGTTCTTGCTCATGTTTCTTGCGCTGCTCCTCCCTAAAAGGCACAGGTGCATGTTAATTAGGCACTGGTGAAACTCACAACAGACCACTCTAAAGCACTTGTTAGACCAAAGTCCAAACTTAAAAACCAGAAAGCACCTTGGTGCTTGAATCCAACCCCTGTAGTTTTTGTTTTAATTGATAAATCTTGACCTCTGGAAGTCAAATGTCAAGCTTAAAATTCACTAGTCTGGTAAAAATGCTAGAACTAGGAACTAGGGTCTGACTTTAGCATTAGGAAAGGGATTAAGGGGGGGAAAAAAAAAAGCCTAGAGATCAAGTTAATGATCTTAATAGCAAATATAGTTAGTAAAGGTCTTGGTGGCAGGTGGATGTAGGCAGGTCACATGACAGGTAATGCTGTCGCAGGAGGGTTTCATGCAGGGAATCGGCTCGAGCTCTGGCTTTAACTGGGTTTGTCATGCAGAAGAAAGCCTCTAAGGATCAGCCTGGGGTTTACCCTGTGTAGGGCCTCGAAGCCTGGAAAGCCTGGTTCCCCTGAAGTGATACATTTACATTTATCTGCACACCAGGTGCCCTGGGCACCTGGACTGGTGTCTGGAGGGATGTCCAGGTGTGTAGTTGGGGCAGATAGGTGCTGCTTTTATATGCAGTCTTTCAAAATGAAAAGAACTATAGAAGTGGATAATTATATACTCACCTGGTATGGAGACGAGGTTGTTTGTAAGTTTTCTTGTGGAAGCTAACTCTGCTTACATGCTCATTCAAGGATTTATTTTCTTTAGATTCTCCCCATGGTTTAAGTTTTCCTAGTTTAGAACCAGAGACAAAGAGATTAATGAAGGCCCTTGTATTTATATTCCTAATTTTATTCATCTGTGGTCACTTGCTTTTTGTCAACATATATATTTTAATACACATTTGCCAGTGTCTTTTATTAATTTCAATTTCATAGTCCACAGATAGAAATTGCATTTTTTTCTTTAAATATTATGTTCTACTTTCTTAAAAAAATACTTTCAGGGCTGTGTTCTACTTTTTAAATCCTTGGAAACTCACAGAGTAAACCTTAATACTAAAAACAAACAAGAAAAAAAACTCCCATTACATAGAAATTTTTAAAAAATATTTTATTTTTATTTATTTTTAGAGAGGGAAGGGAGGGAGAAAGAGAGTGAGAGAGAGACATCAATGTGCGGTTGCTGGGGGTCATGGCCTGCAACCCAGGCATGTGCCCTGACTGGGAATCAAACCTGCGATGCTTTGGTTCACAGCCTGCGCTCAATCCACTGAGCTATGCCAGCCAGGGCTCCATTACATAGCAATTTAAAAGAAGCCATCACAACCATGTAGTTTATCCCGAGGTTGCGCTGTATTATGTTTAATATTAAAGTGGTATTTTACCTGTGCAGTTTGTTATTACTGGTACACATTGGACTATATTTAGAATGGAACAACTGGGAATAATTTGTTGGCTTTAGAACTCGGACCAAGTTTCCAAGTGTTCATGTAGAGCTCCACGTGCACAGTGTATGACCCATGCCTGAGAACCAGTGATCACCATTTGCAGTTTCCCATTTTATAAAAATGACTTTCGCACCATCACTATCATTCAATCAGTAACTGCTAAAGTACTACTTACTTAGTGGTGGTCACAGTCATTCCCACAGCAAACACTTCTTGAGTCCCTTGCACGTGCCAGGGACTGTCGTAGATGCTGAGGACATAGCAGTGAACCAAGTAGTCACAATTCTTGCTCTCTCGGGCTAGTGTGCCAGTGATGGTAGATGATAGCTAACTAAACACAGCACCAGGCGGTGCCATGTGCTGTGAAATGGGGAACAGGCTAAGGAGTAAAGACTGGGAGGCAGGGAGTCAAGGCCTGAGCTGGTGGCAGCTCAGTGGACGTCCCATTAAAATGAGGGAGCAAGCTATGCAAAGGTCTGTGGATACAGTATTCCAGGTAGAGGAGAGGGATGACAAGTTCAAGGACCTGGAGGTAGCAATGAGCTCGGTGTCTGAGGAGCTGAAACAGCTGGGTGATTGGCTCAAATT